GATTGTAAAACGTTTTTGGAGATAATAATGATTTACTGATTTCTAGTGAATTTAACGAACCTGATTGGAATCGGTACTCAGCTCACTGATTTATAATTCCGAGCCATTATCATGGTTAACACGACCCGCACATCCACGCTTACAGCACCTGAAACTTCCAAGCAGTCACCCATCTAGTTACTCAGCAGACTCGGTGTTGCTTAACTTCGGATATCATACAAGAAACGGTGTTTCAATAGGATATAATCTGAAATACAAAAATTGTGTTTCTGGGTGCCGATCGTTCTCAGAAAAGCATTTTCAATCGAACATCACAACTTCCTATCCATCTTAGTGTTGAAACTTAACTAATGCATGGAATTGCAACACAAAATCCAAAATGTATTGAAACTTAATTATAGTTCCTGGAGAATGTTTTCAGTCGGGCAGAGTTCTGGTTGAATCTCTTGATTCCTCCCTCTTTCCTTTACCAACCATCACTATGCAAATTAGGTGGTTCCTACCACAACACTTAGTTATAGCATTTTTTCTTCACTTATTTTCCTTTCCAATCCATGTTTTCCCAATCACGTACATAAGCTTATTTAACAGGTTACTCGCCGTGTCCTCTGACCTTTTGTTTGCCTTCAATTAAGTCCTGTGAGATTTTCCATGATCTCTTTCCACATGAAATATTCCAGAAATTCCAGTTCTCTTTTTCTGATTCTAAACACAAATGTCCTTTTCGTTTCTATTTCCTTAAAACTTCCTCATTGTTCTCGCGCTCTGTCCATGGTATTCTCAGTATCCTCCTGTAGAATCAAAATTTGTTGCCTCGTCTCCCCTTAATCATTGAGGAAGCTGCCTAACATTTATTTGTTTCTAATGAAATATTTCTGTTTAATACTTTGTTTACTTTTTGGAAGGCATGTTTCGCTATTTCAATGCACCTTCGGATTTCTGTGTCGTATTTTCCATAAAATGATAATAACAATAAATGAAATTGAAAATGTTGTTGCACGTGACAGATTGCAGAAATAAACAACAGTAATCTACATAAGCATAATGTTTTATAGTTTTAATCATAAATTTTAAGAGTGAAGAAATATAATAACAGAAATAAATTAATTTGTAATGATTTACAGGATGTTTTGCATTCGCCATTTGATAACAATTTCTCTTCGACAAATACACATACAGAGTCATATATCCATACACACAGGTTTTAGAAGAACATGTTTATTAGTATTAGCTGGTTTCCTGGTCAAGATAAAATTTCGCACGCTAAAGTTTTGTATTTTTAAAATCGGGAACCTCAAACCATTACAATAAATATCTGCATAGCACAAATTTACAATTTTATACAGATGGTAATGTATCAGTTGTGTAAAGAGATGCATTCACTTTGTACAAGCGGAAGTCTACAGACACATCTGCGCAAGTAAGTAAACACATGCGCGCAAATAAAGTTATACTATTTATAATTTTGTTATAGGAGAAACTTCCTAATTAGTATCTCAGCATTTAATGTTAAACATTTTACTTGATAATTTGTATTTGTTCCATGAAAAATTCTCTCGCACTACTCCAGACAACTTCATTTGTGTATTTAATACTTCCATTTTTTCATTCTTTTATTCCCCATGTTGTTTAGGCTTTTAATTGTCATTAATCAAAATAAAAATCTTTTACATTTCATTCTTAATTTTGCGCCTTTAGAATAGTTCTTTGTTATTTTGTGTGTATCTGAATTCATTTTAGAAACATTTTCTTCATATTTCAGCCATGATTAATTGCTGAATCTTTGGCTATTTAGGAATGTTATTTGTCTTTTCTCTTTTAATTTTGTTTTGTTTGTTTCATTTTATATGCACCTTTGAAAACACTGTTGGTAACAGATTTCAGTCTGTCAAAAACCATGTCAAGAAAACCTGAATTATAATCAAATGCAAAAACAACATTTCTAATGTAAATTATTACCAACATAAAATATTTTAACATTTAAGTTTCTGTTTCAATCCTCAGAAGACACCATATTTTACAGTAGTATATCTTCTTTTTTGTTTTTGATTATTTAATGACTAACCAAGCTGATATTTTAACAACTGTCTCACTATTTATTATTTATTTTATTCGGTCGAGATAGTTTGGACATCCATGAGTCTATCACGTAAAACATCACAGTTCTGCATCAAGTTCATATGTTCATTAGGGCGGCATCATGTGTCATAAAATATTTGGTCAACGTAGGTGGTTGCTGGGCGACCAACCCGCCAGCAGAAGATCACCGACAAGTCGTTGTTTTGCACGTCAGGAATGTCATGCAAAGCACATTCTGCATTTAGATAAGATTCTAGAAATATTAGGGATAGGTCCGTAGAGCTGTGCTTTAATTGGTTGCTGTCTCCAAAATATAGTACATCTCCGAGTGTGCATTCCATTAAGCTTAGAACCAAGGGTTTTCGTTAATTTCCAAGCAGTGGCACCATACATTAAAAGCGACTTTAGACACGAAAGAAGCTTAAGAGACTCGTGGGTTAATTTAGGGGCCTCTTCATTACGTATAGTTACCCCCACACTGCGTCTATAAAAATGTAAATATTTCCCTCTCAATACTCTAAATTGTTTCAAATGAGCTCCAACCAGCCCTACTAAATCGAAAAATAAACTAATTTATTACAAGAATTCTCAGTTGTCTAATATATTATCAGGATCATTAGTCTTGCATCCAATACTGGGCCATATGCAAATCCGGCGCTGGGTAGCAGTAGGTTTGTGCACGTTAGTTGCCCAAATAAGCGGTACAGACGTTGCTTCCTAAACCACCGAAATGCTTCTTTCTGGAAGGGATAACAAAACTCATTGAACGATTCCAAAAGTAAATCGCCATGCAGTGACATATGACATCCAAAAGTCACATATGCATTTGATCTTCATCAGTGGAAATAAATGGAGATTGTCTTTACTTTTTGCTTTACCTTCGTAGACTGGTTATGACGATAAACTGCACCCGGCAACAAGACCTCTGATCAGGAGATTTAAGCTTTTGGGGGATGTGGAACCACCTCTTAATTCTTGTTGTTCGCAGGTCCACCCTGACCCGATGGGGTCCTAGGTATGGGCAAATAGTGCACCCCAAAAATTGACAGTACATTTGACCAATAATACTTTTTCATAGAAAAATTACAAACAATACAACAGGAAATATGTGTAAAAATACATATTATAAAAAAATTACCAACAATAGTTTGTAGTGAAATTACCAGCAATAAGTTTTTTAAAATAACGAACAATATATTTTATGATCTAAAAACTCTATATCTAAAAAAAAAAACATACCTTTCCCTGAAAGTATAAAATTATGTACAAAACATCTGTAGTTGAAAGCATAAAATTACGTACAAAATATTTAGATTTCGGCATTAAATAACCCATAGAGGTGTTGATATGCTGCTAAACAGAACCAACCAACCAAAAATTGCATAATTATCAGATTATTTATTCTAGTTCTTTCTCTAGTTCCTCTCATTTTGAATTCTTTCTATATATTTATTAGTTAAGTATTTGAATTTTTGCAAGTCTGGAATTGTTTTACTATGTAACTATTAAATCAATGGATGGGCGTTAGCATAGCGGTTATCGGACGGAAAATAGGTTCGGCATGTCGAATTAAATCTAAAATGAGGCTATTGCACTAATATTTTTAAAAAGAAATGAATCCGTCTCTTCTCCCTACCTACCAGCCTGAGGTCTCTAACTTTGGTTGGTAACTAGTCTTGAAAAAGAACAACATTGAATTCAAATCCTCCTGGTGTGAGGCTAGCAACTCTACCTCGTAAAAACGACTTGCTACGGAAATCACATCAACACTAACTAACGAATAAGTTTTTTTTTCCAGTCCGTACATGATCTGTCTGTGCGCATTTTCATTGATTTTGTATCATTCTCTTGAAATCTATCTAGTTATTTGCAATTACTCTCTTCCGTCCTTTTTTCGTATTTTCGGATTCTCTCTTCGCCTTACTAATGCTATAACTATCAAATAATCTCGTCTGGTTCCTTTTGTAGTTCCTCTCATTGTGTATTATTTATATATCTTTATATATCAGGAATTATTCTTACTATGTAACTCTGAAATCAATGGATATGCGCGGAGCATACCGATTATAAGGTTGGAAAGTTGCTTTGCTGTTTCGAGTGAGTATTTCAGGTAAGGCTGTTGCGTTGTTTGTCTTCGCACAAATAGTTTTGAAAACGTATGGCTCTCTTCGTCTTCCCTACCCCCGCCCAAACTCATTCGCTGGGGGTCAGACTGATCTGTCTAACTTTGGTTAGGAAAAGGACAACTCCGAATTAAAAAAAAATGGTTGCATGTAGGGTTAGCAGCTTTACGCCTAACAAACGAATTGCTATGGAAATCAGGGCATTAACACCTAACGTGTTGATGCTGCGCTCCTATACGCCAATGGTGAGTCTGCCTAATTTACGTTCAGACACACATTAAATCAGTTAATCACTCTGTCTATTTTTCCTTTATTTTATCTAGCTAGACTAAATAGTCACATCCACGATGTCCATATTTGTGGGTCAATCAGATGATGGCATTACTCGAAATTGAGTCGCAGCCATGATGTGTGTATGCATGAGGAAATTACTGAACTAGGGTATATCTATCCAGTGTATAGTCGGGCTTTCCTTTCGACAGTAGCTTTTATTAATTATTTATCTGAAGCGCGATCGTTAATATGTTTGCCTGGAATTAATCAGCATCTAAAACTAACATGCTCTATGGGCGCATTTAAATCCAAATCATATTCTGGCTTGAAAACTCATTTTCGTTCCGACCACAGAAACATTCTACGGCAAAGAGATAACACCGAGCCGGAATGTCGCATTTATATATTTGTTACCAAAAGAAATGTACATCTAGAAAGCCATATGAAATAGCTAAGAGAGTGTTAATTTAAGAAAGTGCCCATGCTTGAAATCGAATAGGCAGAAATCATAGATTTATATTTGCGATGGAGAAGTGCTTACGCGAAGTCAATGCGACACTACTGAAGGAAGAATTCCAGAGAGACAACAAGATGCTAAATCAGCTTTTGTTTTTATCGAGAGCTTGCTGACGGAAACGTTATAAAAATGACCTTAAAGAACCGTTATAAGTCTGTCCTTAAAGAATCGTTGGAGTGGTTATGTTGCTGGAATGAGCGACAGCAGGGTTCCAAACCAGCTTTTTTATGGTGACCTTGTTAACGGAATCATTATAAAGATGGCCTGAAACAATCACTGAACCTTGTAAACATTAATACATATTATTGGGAATTCCATACAAATAATCATACCACCTGAAAGAAGAAGGTTCATGATGGAAAGTTTGTTTTCGAAAGTTTTTGGATTGCAAAAGTAAAGCTAAAATGTGTCCTAATAGTTCATGATGTGAAATTTCCAGACTTCATAGGTGATAGGAATAATCTTACTTGCAATATTTGTGGTAAGCTTTGCCCGAGTAAAGCAGAAAAAAAAAATTAAGTTACATGAAAATATACGACGAAATGTTCATCTTTTGTAGCTATATATTTAGAAAAAGATTATTAAAAATTAATCTTCAGAATATTTTGATGTAGAAATAACGCCTGCTTTCATCAAATTTGTGAGACGAGGAAGAAGAAGAAGAAAAGGAAAATAAAAGGAGAAAAAAAAAAAAATCGCTGACGGTCCACTTCTCTTTTTGTCGATGTAAACTCAAAAAAAGGAAATCGGGTTTGTTTTGATTTGGTGATAGCTTCACCTCCTTCTGGGATGACGAATACGTATATAATCAAAGAACGCGAAAATTACATTTGTTTAGTCCTTTAGTTTTCATGGAGGGAAATCCCAAAGCCGAAATATAACAAGAGAATTTTTGTACATAGTTTTTTTTTCTGTAAGCCAACCGAATTCATGCAGAAAGAATAAAATCTAAAGCAGATATATCACTTAGACTGAACAGAAGACAGCGGAAAAAACAAATGAATACGTCAAAAGAAATATTCTTTTCAGTTTTGAGAAGGCAGACGAGATTCACCCAGATTTCGATTTTTCCCTCCAACGAAACAAAAAGGATTTTCAACAAGCGACAAACTGTATATTCAAAAGAAAATATAATTAGTTGATTAAAGACCTAATTTTAAAATGTATACAATTTAGATTACCCTTTTTTGGTGCATCGGTTCTTTTCAGAGGCATGTTATGCAATGATTCTGGTACCATATGTTACTGTCTAAAACAATCATAACTAATTAAAAGCACTTTAAATCAAAAATTATTTACTAAAATAGTGTTAATGGTTTCAAGGAATCGTTGACACAATAATAATTTTAGGCAATAAATTTGATATTAATTTAATCTAATTAGACTCGATTTTAATTCAAATGTTAATATTAATTTATTGCTTTAGTAAATCTGTGTTGGCTTTTTGTGATTATTTTTAGACACGAGATTTTATTGTGAATTATCAAGATAGTTTTCTATTCAAAGCATAATGAACACAGAAAACTCTCTTCATTTTTCTCCTTTACTTTTTAATTGTCTTACTTTCTACATTGTTACCACGATTTATGGACAGTAAATACATACATATATATTTTGGGCGTATTTGGGTTTCATGCATTTTTCTCTTTTTTGCGAGAAACTTCAATCCTCATAAGGTACTCAAACTTTCGACTTTTTGTTTTTGTCAAACAAAAATAAACTTAGTTAAAATCCGAACTAATTAAATCTGTCTTTTATATGCTGTCGAGATATTGATTAATGTCTTCCGTATTTAAAGTAAGGACACATTAACATTTTTTAAATCCTAAGAAGAATTATGGTTCTTTTAGCATTCTGGTATATCGTCTTGGTCTCTTGCACGGCGAGGAACATAAAATATTTGTAATGACGCAAAATACAAGCTCAGTTAGATATTTTAAAAAAAACTTCGTTTATATATCAACAAGACTGATAAGGCTTTGGTTTTGTAAAACATTTTGCTTTTTGTATTCTGTATGTTTAATGCACAATATTACTGTATTTAAACAAAACTACGTATAATTTTAATCTAAACAAACGACCAAGGACGGGTGTTAATTTGGGCCATAAAAAGAGGATATGACACGAAACTATATATTGAACTCGGACAAAAGACAGAACATCTTATTTTAAGTAAAACAAAGTTATTTCATCCAGTCGCTCGTTCATTCGTATCTATGTCCGTCTATCTATCATTGTTCATACAGGTCTACACTACGATTTTTATGTTCACTTTGTTCATTATCTATCTATCTATCTATCTATCTATCTATCTATCTATCTATCTATCTATCTATCTATCATTTTTCATACCTGTCTAGCCTAGGATTTTTTACGGTCACTTCTGTGTATTCACTATCTATCTATCTATCTATCTATCTATCTATCTATCTATCTATCTATCTATCTATCTATGTAATTAATTATATTATCTATCTATCTATCTATCTATCTATCTATCTATCTATCTATCCTTTTTCATACCTGTCTAGCATATGATTTTTTACGTTCACTTCTGTGTGTTCACTATCTATCTATCTATCTATCTATCTATCTATCTATCTATCTATCTATCTATCTATCTATCTATCTATCTATCTATCTATCTATCTATCTATGTAATTCATTATATTATCTATCTATCTATCTATCTATCTATCTATCTATCTATCTATCTATCTATGTAATTCATTATATTATCTATCTATCTATCTATCTATCTATCTATCTATCTATCTATCTATCTATCTATCTATCCTTCATTTATTTCATCGTTTTCCCATTGCTTGGATTTCTCTCTTCTTACCCTTACTATTGTTTAGTGGAATTTTCTCCGGCTCTTCTCATTTTGTTTTCTTTGCATAATGTTATTTATAATTTAAGAATTTTATGTAGCAAATTATTGATTTTATGTTCCTATTAAATCGATGGATGTGCCGTTAACGGTTATCGGCACGTATTTTAAGAATAACGTGTCGAGTTTAAATTCCGATTTCGCTCAAATACATTTATAAATGTATGAAGCCGTTTCTTTTCTCTGACAACTAGAGGATAATTACCGATCATCTTCGAATCACTAGCCTTGGTTGGCAACCAGTCTAAAAGAAAAACAGATCTGAGTTCAAAATCGGTTGGCCGTTGGGATATAATCTACATCCAGTCAAAATCTGCTTGCTACACAAACGACAGCAATAGCATCTAGCATCTCTATGGTTATCATAACATATATATCCATCTATATTAGGCTTCTTTTTTATTCAGCCTGTTCTGTTGGGTATACACAAGAAAGTCGAATAGCCACGTCCAAGTGTTACTTGAAGTGAAGCGGCTACAACACGCGGCAGTCAGACGAGAATATTCTCGCTTTTATTAACATGTAAATAATGTGTTTTTAGTATTGTATCCTGTTGTTCGGTGTCCTTATTGCTACTACGTCAAGCGTTATGACACGTTCATTTTCGTGCTATTCGCATTTAAATTTTTGTAACATTCTATTACCATCTCTCTAGCTTGGTAGCTACGATTTCCGTTACCAGCATGCTAACTGGGACTCATTCCGGGATTTTCCTCATGACGCCCCTGGGACTGGCATCTTCGAACTCCCAACTGAAAATTGCATCACTAAGGTTTCTTCTTGGGTCAAAGCCAACAGGGACGTATTCATCCCTTTTCGGTGAAACCACAGTCCTCTCCAAGTATCACACCAGCATACACGAACCACTATTTCCGGCTATACCAGCCATAAGAGGTGCTACTACTCGTAATAAATGTAAGCGAGTTCACGAAGCAGCTAATTCCCTGTTTGCTGAGAGACTGAGGCACCGCATAGCCTCTAAAATCTTTGGCTCTCGTATTTACTGGCGTCTCTGTAATAGGGTACTAAATAAGTGAAAGGTTTCTGTTCCACCACCTCTAAAATCGATTTGAGGTAACCTACCTTAGAACTGATTCTCTGTTGAGTGATATGCATAAAACACCTTCCATGGTTTCTGCTATAATCATAAACCTTGATACCCACAAAGCATATGGAGCCGATTGTATCCTTGTAATAGTCAGTAAACTGGCTCCTGTTCTCTCTAAACTGTATAATAAATATCTCGTTGACTCCTGCTTGCCTGCCTGCTCGAAATCATCGTATGTTGTCCAGTTTTTAAGAACTCTTTTTGGCCGTCTGACCCATCCAACTATCGGCCTATTAGTCTTCTACCTCTTTTGGGGAAATACCTAAAGGCCCTAATCAATGCTTAATTGGTTCATCAACTCTCATCGCAAGGCCTTTTCTCAGACAAGTAACACAGCTTTCGTTTCTCCAAGTCAACTGTTGATGTACCAAAGATAATTGTGGAAAGAGTTTATCATACTCTAGTTAAAAAACCGATGAATCCCGGTTTGTAGCATTGCATATCACGAAAGTCTTTGAAAGGATTTGGCATTCAGGTCTTCTCCACAAGCCAAAAAGTTACGGCTTCTTCGGGAATATTTTGAGGTAATCCAGTCGTTCCTATCAAATCGTAAAATGAAAGTTGTCCTGAACGGACACACGCCTACATCATTTCGTACTAACTCAGGAGTCCACCAAGCTTCCATCCTTTGTCCTACACTATTCTAAAGGTTCATTAACGACTTTCCCGATGACATCAACTCTCGACTTAGTATCTACACTGACGACACTAACATTTACACCTGCGTCGATAGTAAGGCTGATCAGTTCGACTAGGTCAAAATGGCCGCAGATGTACAAAACGAAGTCAAGACCGTTGTTGACTGTGGAAAATGATGGCTTGTTAATTTTAACATCTCCAAAACTAAGCTTCTCTCCATTAATCATCTGAGAGACCCCTCTCTGCCTTCCATTAGCATGGTTAATGCTAAACTCCAGGAAAGTGACTCATTGCACCGTCTCGTGCTAATGTTCTCAGCTGACATAAAGTGGAAAGACTCTTTTGAATCTATTGATAAATCAGCTGCTAAGAAAGTCGGTTCATTGTAATGGGCAAAACAATTTTTCTTTCCGATATCTATCTTGCATATCTATAAGTCTACCATCCGTCCATGCTTAGAATATTGCTGCCATATATGGTCCGGTGCTCCTGGTATTTACCTGGAGCTCCTTGATAAGATCCAAAGAAGTATCAACAATATTATTGCTCCTGGTCTTGCGGCTCGGCTTCAGTCACTTGTCCACCGCCGTAAATTAGCCCCTCTGTGCCCCACTTTTTTTTTAGAAATACCTTCCTGGTAATTATTCGGATGAGCTGTTCGCTAAGGTACCTAGAATGTATGAATTTAAGCTCAATACTAAAATGGCAATTTACAATTGAGTTGGCTAGATGTAGCCGTAAGTTCTATGTTAACAGTTTCTTTTCTCGCACTTCTCGCTTGTGGAACACCTTTCTGGTTACATGCTTTGCAGCCAACTTTAATCTGCAAAAATTTAAATCCAATGTCAGTCGATACCTACTGATCTTTTCTCTTTCTCTTCATTACTCATGTTTCGGTTCCTAATTCATCCACATCCGGTAACCCCTTGCGTCTTAGTGGCTGTACTGCTTTACTTGCAGTGATACCGATAAAAAAAATGCATCTACTCACTTTCCCCCTTTTCTCATTTTCGGATCCTCTTCTCGTCTTACTCATGCTATAAGTATCAAATTATCTTATCATTTTGTGTTCTTTCTGTATCTTTATGTATTAGAAATTGTCTTTACTACGTAACTCTTAAATCAATGGTTGTATGCGGAGCATACTGGCTATCGGGACGGAAAAGTAGCTTTGGTGTGTCGAGTGCGTATATCAGGTGAGACTGTCTTCGCACAAATACTCTTAAGAAGGTGATTTTTAAAAATAATTTTTCTGCAAGCAAGGCAATAAAGCCACTAAGACGTAAGGGTTTATTGTGTTAGAGAATATGAGGAAAATCAAAATTAAGGAGAAAGAACAATAACAGAACAGGAATTAAATTGACAGATGATAACGATTTATATTGCATTTAAAGTTCAAAGGGAACCAATAAGCCGGAAGTGAATTCCACAAGTGAGAAGTGCGATAGAATAAACTGTTAGCATAGAACTTACGCTTACATTTCGCAACTTCAACTGTAAAATGACGAGACATTAGCTGCCTTAGAGGAAAGTTCATCAGAATAAATACCATAAAAGTATTTATAGAAAAGGCAGGGGGAAGCTACCAAACGGCGGTGGAAAAGTGGCAGAGGATTAGATGACAGGTTAGGACCAATAACGCTGCAGATTCTGCTTTGGGTTTTATCAAGAATCTCTAAATATATAACAGGAGCACCAGACCAGATGGGACAGCAATATTCAAAGCAAGGGCGAATGGTAGACTTATGAATACGAAAGAGAGATCCTGGCAAGAAAAAACACGACATAGTAAACCAATTTTCTTAGCAGCAGTCTTTCCACTTCATGTTAGCGGTAAACGTTAGAGCGAGAAGGCGCAATGTGTCACTCGCCTGGAGGTTAGCATCAGCCACGCTGATGGAAGGTAAAAGAGTTCTCTCTGACGATTGAAAGAGAGTAGTTTCCTTTTAGAGTTGTTAAAATCAACAAGCTATTCCTTAGCCAGTTAAAAAAAAAAAAAAGATTGTAGGTCATTTTCAAGATCAGCTGCCAATTTCACCTTATAGAACCGGACAGACAGGAGTAAATATTTGTGTCACCGGAATAGTTATCGGATTGAGAACATATGACATCATGAAGGTGATTGATGAAAGTTATGAACAATGTAGGTCCAAGGATAGAACCCTGGGGAACACCTGCATCAATGCAGAAATATCTAGAAGAATGGTTTTTCAAGATAACATTCATTTTGCGATTTGATAAGAAAGACTGAATCAGTTCCAATATTGGTCTAGGAATACCATAACCTTCCAACTTGTGAAGAAAACCAGTATGCCAAACCCTGTTAAATGTCTTCGAGATACCCAAAGCAACCATTTTTATCTGAAGGTATGGATCCATCTTTTCTCTCCCCACACACCAGCTAGAGTACAAACAGATCTCTCGAAATTTGGTTGGCAGTCATGAAAAAGAAACAATTCTGAAGTAAAATAGCGTTTAAGTGTGAGGTTAGCAGCTCCACTTCGAAACAAATAACTTGTCAGGGAAACCACATCAAGAAGACCTAGTGTGCTGATGCTGTTCCTAAACGCCACTGGAGAGTCTACATCGTTTACGACAGACACTGCTTATTTTTCTTTTATTTCATCCTCAGTTTTTTTTTCGGTGGGTGTACTATTCTTCTCTCTCTATCAATATCATTACACTTATTTTTCTTTTGAATATATTAGGTAATTGCAAATTTCAGTAAAATCCCAGTTTTCAATTGTGTGTTAGTTTCTTGTTTTAGGGGGAAAAAAAAAGAACTGGATGCTTTTGTACATACATAATATATGTAAATGTCTAAACGGGAAGTGAGATATCTACGTCCGTTATTTTTCTAACATAATGTTTTGTCTTTTTTTGTTTAATTCTAAACGGTTTACTGTTTCATTTAACCTCGGTAGGTGCTGTGGTGGGTGTGATTATATATACATGTTTGTAGCTTATCGTGTTAAATAATTGCAGATTCAATCCTGTGTCAAAGTTTCCTTTGCAAACGCATTTTTAGGAAAGTGTTTTCTCAGAGATACTTCGATAAATTTTCCTTCACTCTATCTATCAACCAATCTGGAAAAAATAGTGTGTTTCATAGGAGAGAATTCAATACAAACTGAAAGCATTAGTAACCTATAAGGATTATAATATAAAACTAATTTAAACTTTATCATTATTCCCTATTTACACGCGGTCTATTA